CTCTTAAGACTAATAGTAGTGTCGAAGTAATGGCTCCGACTTTACGACTCCTTCAGCACAACCTGACCACACATTTCGACGGTCTGTCCAAAGTGTGTGAACACAACAAATATATGTTGCGATTCATACAAGTCTTGTCCACACATAACACCTCAACGGATCAACACATGGATCACAACCACAGCGAAGACAATGAGGACAACGAAGACGAAGAACCTAATGACAGCCAATCGGACTCGGATTCGCAATAATCTAATGCTTCAGTTTTGCCTTCAGTTTTGCGAGCGTTTTGCCATTTATTTCTCAAATGTATTCAAAACACATTTTATTTGATAATAAAAGTTATAAAAATGATTTATATTTAAAACCCTAATTCAAGTCATTTGACTCCAAATCCTTGACTCAAATAAGTGATGAAATGAGTTAAAAGTTTCGTACAAATGATTGCAAATTACAGTAACTCGAGGTTTGCTGAGAAATGAATGCAAAACTTTTGATCGCTTTTTCTAAGTGTTATGCAATAATGCTATCAAAACATATGTTATAGTAATATGCGAGTCATGAATAAGTTGTACTCTATTTAGTCATTTGTAAAGCAATACTTCGTTCACTTCTATGCAAACAATGAACAAAAGTATTATAAGTTTGGATACTCTTATAAATTGAATGCATTTACGAGTCAATGTTTCAATGTTTGTGCAATACTTGTGGCAATAACCGTAACATTCAATGCAAATGTGATTCACTTTTCAAAGTATTTCTAATAAGCGACGAATCGATTGCTGCTGAATATCGATCACCACATCCAACACTTACCATCAATCAGACAATACTCCCATTTAATGGTTACTATGACAACACACATCACGTGCACTACCAATACGACGAACTATAGGTTGAATTGAAGGCAATACTCCAGACATCAGGGAATTTGATGCGTTAGTGAGACTCAGTGTTGCGACTATTGGTGTGAATATCGATAATAAACGTGTTGTCAATAAAATGTGAAACAAATTCACGTTTCGTTCGAATAGAGAATTAGTACGCATTTGACACTCAGTTCGATATGAAGTGACGATTGGATCGGATTTGAGACCAATGAGTGCTCGCAGTGACAGACACTGACATCACGAACACCATTGCATCACATCTGTGGTCAGTCCCACCACTGCTGACACTCACGAGTCGTTGAAGACATCTGTTGGGCAGCCATTGGCGCCGTACGAGTGGTCGCTGTAATGGACTTAAGACTGATCTCGAACTACAGCCTAAGAAGTGATGCCTCTCTGCAGAAAGAGGTGAGACTATGCCTACCATTGCATGTCATGTGAGACACGTGTCTAACGTATGCCTTCACACCACTCGCGCAGACCATTGAGTACTTCGAGCGCCTGAAGAGCGATGAGTTGGGATGGAAGCTATGCGTGGAGTGTCTGGTGTCGCGTCACGTGACCGACGAATCGGCCGTTTTCTTCTGTCTTCAGGT